TACATTGGGCTCGCGGTACATCATGGTGTAAGGGAATTGGAAGGATTAAGGAGGATATAAGGGGATTTAGAGAGGTTAAGAGGTTATGAAAGGATATAGGGATATGTGGCGATATAATTTTGATTTTTGGACCGTCAAACAAATATTTATCAGATAAAATCAAATAAAATGGAAAAATATTTGTGATAGGTTTACTAAACTAAAAATTAGGTTTAGTCGTAAGATAGCTTTATAATTTAAAAAATATTAAAGTAAATATACATAGAATAAACCTTAACTACGAGGAAATTTACTGTTTTATAGACCAAAATTATTTTTGATATCTGTTTATTTTTAGGGAATACCTTTATTTATTTTTAGGAAAACCTGTTTATTTAAAAATAAATTTTGTTTCAACGAAACAAAATTTTGGACAAAAATAGGCAATACCAAAAATAAATTTTTTTGGAGGTTGTAAAAAATATTGAAGAGATATTTTCTGATTTAACAGGTAAATAAAGAGTAAAAGGGAGAACGGGAATGGAAAAAAAGGAGAGGAATGATTTTTGTGGAAAGCAAACACAGAGCAATTAATTAATTAATTAATTAATTCTGTTTATTAATAAATTTAATAAGGGGGGGAACCTTTTTTTATTTTTCCTCCAACTTTGTGATTTTTAAAAATAATTTTTGGTGTAATAAATAAATTTAGTTGGAGGTTTAGTAAGGGAGGAGGGGAACACCAAAAAAAATTCTCACAAAAAATTTTTATGTAGATCGATCAGAAATGGCAAAGTTGATGGAAATCGGAACTACCTATCATAAATGGTTCAAAGGTCGGAAACCGAAAGAGGAATTCTGACAGCCCTCAGGCGAGAAACACAACCAGAGCAATTAATTAACTTGTGTATTCAAGATTAATTAATTAGAAGGGAAAACTTTTTTCCTTTCCTCCAACTTTGTGATTTTTAAAAATAATATTTATTTGTTGTAATAAATTTGGAGTTTTACTAAGCAGGTAAATAAAGATGGGGAGAACGTGAAAAATAAATGATTTTAATGAGAATCAAAGGTCGGGTGGAAATGACGATTGTGCTACAAATCAGAAATACTGAAAAACGAGAATGGCTCAAAAGTAGCAAACCGGGAATCGGGAAAAAAATTGAGAAATTAGAATTCCGATCGACAATTTGTTAGAAGCACAGACAGAGCAATTAATTAATCTAGTTGGGCTATTCAAACTTAATTAATTAAAAAGGAAACTTCTCTTTTTCCTTTCCTCCAACTTTTTGATTTTTAAAAACAAAATTTTTTGGTGTAATAATTAGGAGGAACACAAGAAAAAATTTTTTTAAAGAAAATATAGTCGAAAGGCGGACGTCTATTATTTCAAAATAAATAAGAGAGAAATTTTAATGAGAAATTTTAATTAAAATTAATGGTTACTAAAAAAAGTTTAGTCTCTCCAAGAAAAGACACAAATCTGGAAGGTAAAAAATTGTTTAAAAATTATGAACACAATTTTGAAAGAATAGAAAAATACACGATTTAATTATAGAATTATCAATTTAAAAATTTTTAATGATTAAAAGACAAATTCTATTTTTGAAAAGTTGAGGAGGAAATTAAATAAATTTTATGCAAATTTGTTCCCGAGACAGGGAGGAGACGTATCTTGATCAGGGAGGGCACAATAGACAATTACTAGTGCCCGGCAAAATTATTTTTCGGGCCCGGAAACCGGATTTTGGATTTCGCGCTCATGCCGGACCGGATTCGGCTAGATTTTTCTGGATTAAATCGATTTGGAAAAAATCCGGAGATCGCGAAATTTGGGACACAAACTCCGGCAAATTCGGCCGAGTCCGGTCCTGTGCCGAGCACTAGAAATTAACAAACGCAAAAAAAAAAACAATACACGATCAAAAATTAAGGCAAACGCAAAAACAGGAAATTTTTTTATTAAGTATTGGCCAATTTTCAATTAAAAATTGAAGTATCACAAAATGGCAGCAAATTTACTCGATTTTTTATACAGATAAGGGGGTTCGATGGATATGATTCGGAGTGATTTCGGGGATAAAACGGATTATTAAGGATATCAGATGCTCTAGAGGGAAATGGAGTTTAACTTCTTTTTTTTAACATTTTATCCGAATCTTTCATTTTTGTGCTTAATTATTAGGAAATTTGTTTTCTCGCTTTGCACTTTCCTTTCAATGAATTTTTATTTATTTTGATATTTAAAAACGAAAGGACGACTGCACTTTGACATTTCATAATCTGTCTTTTCGATATCTTGATACTCTATCTTTATTGCCCTTTTATATGTACATTCCCACAGATTTTCATTTAAATAAATTCAATTTTATCATTTTCCGTTAATTTTTAAATAAATTTTAAAATTTGTTTAGGATGAAAATTTTTAACTTTTTAACCGTTTTTATTTTCTATTGGTTATTATGGACTTTTGTTAAAACTGTTTCTATTCGAAAAAGTTTAGCTAAGCATTCTGTAAAGGATTACACGGCAAAGGATCTGACTAAAATATTAAATGACGGAGCCGAATCGTCGGTCAATCCTCAAAAGCAAAAATATAAAGAAACGTTAAAAATAAAATTAAAAAATAAGAAAAAGGACGACTATAAAAATTAAAATTATTACCTTTATTTGATTCCAGAATCTACAGCGCAAGTCGATTGGCGCAAGTTTTTTTCCGTGTAAATCTATGCTATGTTTTACAACCACCTGCCTTTTATTGCAACCCTTTAAATTTAAAGCAAATTTATTTTAAAAATGATAAATCATGCGATCAAGGACTATACCACATCACAAAGTTTGCAGCTCCAAACACATTCCTCAGATACTCATAGCTATGTTGTACAAAGTTGTTGTACAACACTTTTCTACATACCCTACACATAACCAGTTCGTCCTTCATCACATTCAAGAGAATTCCACCCCCGATATATCGTGTGATCATAGCCCTAATCCTCATTGCTTCCCTTTTTATCAACCCCAATCTTTTCCTAAAGTAAACGTTTAGTTATATTTTAAAATTAAAGGTACTTCTTGCCAAACGGCTTCCTTAAATTCCACTTTTGTTCCCCATTTATAAATGAATATAAAATTATATTAGCTAAAAATTCAAACAAACGTTTAAATGTTGATAAAATAAAAATTAATTTAAAATAAAAACATATCTTCCTATCAATAAAAAACATATCTTCCTATCATATTTAAAGAAATATCGATTAAGGTTAAATACTTTTAATGATAAATTTTAATTGAAATATTTGCTACAAAATTGGTATCTTTATATATACAAAATTTTTGCAATAATTTTATTTTTTTATTTGCACACTTTTTTTAATTTGGCCTTATAAGTTATGTATTGTAAGTAGTTAATTGTTAAAAAACTGTTAAGTGATTTTCCTTTTTTAGTTTTATTTTTATTTCATAATCTATTTTTTTGTTACTAATAAAGGTAAAAGGCCAATTGTTTGCGAGAAAGAAGAAAGCACTTCTAATCAAGAGGAGGAAGAATGCAATAATTGTGAGGATGAGCAAAATCAAATTGAGTTAGAAGAGCCAAATAAAGTTCTTGAAAATGTCATAAAGAATAAAGATTTGAATAAAAAAATTTATCCATTTGATTTGATCGAGAAACATGAGGATAAAGAATAAAAAATTATTAAAAAGAACGGAAGATTTGATTAAAATGAAAGTTATATTTTAAAAAAACCTAGTTTTAGTCGATAAAAAAGAATAAATTTTTTATATAATTTGTTAACAAATATCCAAAAAAATACTTTAATTTTTAAAGCAAATTAAATTTGAAATTACAATCGCATTTCCACTACTTTTCTAGACACACTATCACAAAGAATATATCCATCATCTTTTTTCTGTTTTGGTAAACTTGTACGAGTACATTCATAATGATCATTCATTTAAAATCTTTTTGTGCTTAATTATTAGGGAATTTGATTTAATTATTAATTGTTAATTTAGTGCACAACGTTTTAAATCAGCTAAAGTATTTCTGCATTTTTATTTTCCACGATTTAGGCGTTCTTTCATCATATCGGCTGTATTTTGGCTATTGAATAAACTTTAAAAAATATAAACGCTTACGGATTTAACACACTTACAAATTTACCTGAATTTTTTTCTATTAGATTTTATGAAGTAAAATCCAAATTATATAACAGAATTTATAGTTTATTTTTATGAATTAGATTAAGAGTTTCAAAACATAATTTACATGCTTGACAACTGACAGAGGTTAAAATTAAAATGTAAAATTTGACCTATCTAATTCAGTAAAACTGTCGACGTTTTTTTGCAACACGTTCCACCAAATAATATTTAGAATTAGGTATATTATACCTTAATTTTATTACCATTGAAATTATCGTAATAAAAATGTTTGTTTGGGAGATTATTATGTTGAGTTTCTCTATAAGGATGATGCTGGTAGTTTTAAATCGATTGAATATGAATAAAGCCCTATTTTCGATTGTACTTGTATAAATAAATTTTTTTAATTCTAATAATATCTTAATTTACTTAATTTTTTAATCATGGCCGCAAATGTCTGGGCCGCAAGTGTCACAATAGGAGTGAGCCTCAAATGTCAAAACCATAGATTTCTGGACTGCATGTGTCTGGGCATCAAGTTGATAGAAGCAAATGTATGCGCCGAAAATTTCATAGCCGAAAGTGGCTGCGAAATTTAAGGAGGTACGTTTAAGCTCACTATTTTTGTGCAACATGTGCTCTTATGGGGCATTTAAATTATTATGAGATACAGAAAATTTCATGGGGGCAAGTCCTAAAGAAAATATGTCCTTTACATAGGCATATCCTCTAGCTTTTTTTAACATGATATCCCCTAAACACACGTTTTTCCGTAACTGTATTAATTAAAAAATATTTATGCTTGTTTATCGACTATAAACTAAGTTTTTTAAAAAAATTTTCTTTTTAATTATATACTTCCGTTCTTTAATATCTTCTCATTCTTCATCCTCAGGTTTCTCATTTAAATCATATGAATAAATTGTCTTATTTAAATCTATTTTGTCATTTTCAAGAATTTTATTTGGCTCTTCTACCTCGATTTGATTTTGCTTATCCTCGCCATTATTGCATTCTTCCTTCCCTTTATTTGGACGTACTTCCCCAAAACTCTCCTCGCGAACAATAGACATTTTACCTTTATTAATAAAATCACCACTCTGAGGATTGACAAATGAATTTCCTTTATTATTATCAGATTGGACCTTACTCAATTCTGAATTATCATTTTTCTTCTTTTGCCTGTAATTTCGCTGGTATACATTCCAGTTTTCTTTATTCTTTTGGTAGTAAATTTTATTATATTCACAACACTTTTTATCATTCATTTTATAATAATTTCGGTGATTCTCATTTATCTTTTCAATATTTTGTTTTCGGTAATTTCGAAAATATTCTTTATTATTCTCATAGTAATTTCGGTTTTTTTCAAGTACTTTTTCTTTATTTTTCTGGCGATATTTTTTATTATATTTTCTTTTGTTAAGCACTCGTCGACTATTACTATCCTGATCCTCTTTTGCTAACGTTTCTTTAAATTCTTGAACTTGAGGATTGGCCGACGATTCGGCCCCCTCATTTAATATAATAATCGAATCTTTTTCCGTGTAATCCTTTTCAGAACATTCTTCAATTGAAGAAGTTTTAACAAAAGTCCATAATAACCAGTTGAAGATAAAAACGGTTAAAAAATTATTAATTTTCATCCTAAACAAATTTTAAAATTTATTTAATAATTGACGGAAAATAATAAAATTTAATTTATTTAAATGTAAATCTGAGAGGAAGTATAAAAGGGCAATAAAGATAGAGATAAAGTTATCGGAAAGACAGATTACGTAATGTCAAAGTGTAGTCGTACTTTTGTTTTTAAATATCAAAATAAATAAAAATTCATTAAAAGGAAAGTGCAAAGCCGAGAAAACAGATTAGCTAATAATTAAGCACAAAAAAGAAAGATTCGAATAAGAGTTGTGAGACTCTCTGTTGATGATGCTAGAGCAGATAAAAATTTTATTGAAAGTCTAAGATAGAGTTATGCGCTAGACCCTCACGGTCCATGTACCTTCAGAGGCCGACTGTGTGTGGGTAATATTTGAAAAGTCGAGGCGCAGTGGACTTGATTAATTAAAAACTAATTCATAAATATTTATTTAACCTATTGTGAGAGAGAAAAGTTAAGGTAACGTAGCTTCATTGGCTTCCGTGTGGTTTACAACTTCATTAGAAATGAATGATTATTATGAATACACACGTACAAGTTTATCCCAATCAGAAATACAATAATAGATTAAGGATTTAGAAAAGGAGAACAACATAGAGCATTGACGGGAGTTTAGGAAGCAAGTATAAAGTTACAGTTAAATTTATAGTTATACTTAGTTTAGAAAAGGGATTGGAACTGTGATTGAACTTTTAATTTAATTTGGAATCTATTTATTTTTTGGATATTTTTTACTAAAAAAATTTATTCTTGTTTATCGACTTAAAAAACTAGGTTTTTTAAATTAATCTTCTTTTTAATCATAATCTTCCGTTCTTTTTAATAATCCTCATATTCTTCATCCTCAGGTTTCTCGTTCAAATCAAAAGGATAAATTTTCTTATTCGCATCCACTTTATTTGTGTCATCCTCAATCATTTTATTTGTCTCTTCTACCTCGATTTGATTTTGCTCATCGTTTTCATTGTTATTCCATTCTTCCTCCTCTTGATTAAAAAGATTTCCTTCCTCTGAACTCTCCTCGATAACAGGACATATATTACGGCTGTAGTTTAGTAGGAGTCTTGGTTTCGACACAAAGCCCATACCATTCAATTCGTCTCGGCGAGCTGAGTTATAAAAATCTAATATCGTTCTCTTATTCTTAACTTTCTTCATCCTCACGTTTCTAAATCATATCAAAAGGATCAGGAAAATTGTTTTGGGAAATTGTTCTTTTGGTTTTGTTTCTTCTCTTCACCGGAATTCTACTGAGATTGACTCTCAACTGCATTTATGATAACACTTGAGCATGTCTATCCATTTATTTCAAAACCTTTCCGCTATAATTTAAATAAATCATTTTTCTTTTGTTGAAGAAAAATAAATTGCTATTGTCTGAATAATACTCAAAGTGTGTATGGGCGCAGCAGACGGGGGCGTCATCAGACGTTATTCGAAGCTAAATGTAAATATTTTTAAAATGAGTTGTTTAATGAAATTATTTAATTTATAAATGTTTATATTTACTCCAAATTGGGTAATTTATTTAAAATAATGTAATTTATTTTAAATAGAAATTATATAATAAATAATTGAAAAATTGTGAGAAACAACAATCCTCTAATTTTATTTTTTGGAGCAGTTATTTACAAGTTTTATGGCGGACAAACTCTGCGCCTAATGATGAATTAAAGGGGAAAAACATTTTTTACATATTTTAAAATAATTTATTCAAAAATTATGAAATACCAGTGAAATGAATTCCGATTACAGCGTTGTTATCGAGAGATTTATAAATGAAACAATCGAGAATGTGAAACCGAAATTATAGAATCTACAATTATTATGGCTGGAACTGGATTATAAAATTTATTTTGATTGATTTTTTAAATAAATCCAATATCAACTTCATGGGACGCATTAGCGTTATTTTTTTTTATTAATCTTGCGATTTCTCATCCTCAGGATACTCGTTTAGATCAAAAGGACGTATTTTGTTATTTGAATAAATTTGATTTGTGTCATCTTCAAGAATTTTAATGGGCTCTTTTATCTCAATTTGATTTTGCTCATCTTCACCATTATTTTTTTCTTTTTCCTCATGATTCAAAAGAGTATTTCCTTCCATCTGGCAGACAATTGGTAATTTACCTTTATTAATAAAATCACCGGTCTGTGGATTAACAAATAAAGTTCCTTCAATATTATCGGATTGAACATTTTTCTTTTTCTGTCTGGATTTTCTCAAGTATTCATTCCGTTTTTCCTTATTATCCTGTTTATATATTTTCTGTTTTTTCAGTACCGTATCCTTATTTTTTTCGTAGTAAGATTTACTATCATTTTTCAACTTATTTTTATTAATTTCATAGTAATTTCTTTGATACTCATTTATCTTTTCCTTATTATGTTCTCGGTATTTTCGTTTACGTTCAAGTTCCTTGGCTTTATTCTTTTCATAGTAATTTCGTCTCTTTTCAAGCATCCTTTCTTTATTCTTTCGGTAATATTCCTTATCATATTCATTTTTATTAAACAATTTGTCTCCTCTATCTGTTTCCTTTGTATTTTTTAATTTTGATTTTAAAGTTTCTTTATATTTTTGTATTTGAGGAATGTCAGACGACCCAGCCTCATCATTTACTATTTTAGAAAGATCCTTTTTCATATCCTCATTTTCATCAGCTAGACCTTCTTCAATTGAAGTAGTTTTAACAAAAGTCCATAATAACCAATTGAAGATTAAGGCAACCAAAAAACTTGCAATTTTCATTCTAAACAAATTTTAAAATTTTTTAAATTAAAAACACGTTCCTTTCCTCACCGCTAATTAAAAACAAATAACAATTTTTAATTTAAAATCGAATTTATATAAACGAAAATTCGTGAGGAACAGCATGTAAATTATGTTTTGAAACAGATATTGTTATTGATATATTAAATGTATAAAAGGGCAATAAAGTTAGAGAGTCAAATTAACAGACAGGAAATTAAGAAATCTCAAAGGGCAATCACACAACCATTTCAAAATTTCTAAATATAAAAACAATTGAATTCATTGAAAGGAAAGTGCAAGTCGGAAAAAGCAATTACACAATAATTAATCAAAAACCTAAAAATTCCTTTAAACTTTCAAAATATAAAATTTAACCGTTTATTTCCTTCTTTTTTCAATGGGCGAAAATATTTTTTAAATAAATTTTCACTGATTATAAACACAATTTTAACAATCAAAAATTTTTTTTCAACTGTGGCGCTGAAAATGTGTAGATGAAATAGGCAAGTGGAGCTCAAAAATTCTCAAAATTTTAGTTTGTGAGGCTTCAAAAAAATATTGGAAACGGTGACTCTGATTAGGCGAAAAAATTTTTATGGTTAAAATTGTGTTTATAAACAGTATAAACAGCTAGACGTGCTGAAAAGGATTACACTGGAAAGAATATATTAAATGACGAGGCTGAATCATCGGTTAATCCTCAAATTGAAAAATATAAAGAAACATTAACAAAAAACGACACAGTTAAAAATAATGAAGAAAACAAAGTGTTTACCAAAAGTGTACAGAATAAGGAATATTACCAAAAAAATAAAGAAAGGTTGGTTGAGAAAAGTCGAAGATATCGAAAACAAAATAAAGAAATGATAAAAGAAAAAAAGCGAAATTATTATAAAAGAAATAAAAAAAGTATGCTTGAAAGCCAGAAAATTTATTACCAAAATAATAAGAAAAAACTGAATGAGTACAGGCGAGAATATTACCAAAAAAAGAAAAACGTTCAATCTGACAATATTGAAGGAACTTCTTCTGTTAATCCACAGACTTGTGATTTTGCTTATAAAGGTAAATTACCAATTGTTTGCGAGGAGAGTTTTGTGGAAGGAAATCTTTTTAATAAAGCGGATATAGAATGCATTAATGGCGAGGATGAGCAAAATGAAATCGAGGTAGAAGAGCGAAATAAAATGGTTGAGCATGATATAAATGATGCAGATTCAAATGCGAAAATTTATCCTTTTGATCTGAACGAGGAACCTGAGGAAGAAGATGGAGAAGATATATGAAGAGTCCAAGTCCCGATAACGAAAAAATCATAAGATTCGCTTTTCTTATATTTTCCTAAAAACAATTTTTTATACTAATCATTCATTCCACCTAATATTTATTTTTTTATATATGTAGAATGATAAATTTCCAATTTTTTGCAAGTTTTTAAACGCTACAGAAAATAAAAAAAACTTATTACTAAAATAATATATCACCATCTTCATTAGATAAAGAAAGGCGAATTTTATTGAAATATGGCTTTTACAATTAATTTTTTGAAAGTATTCTAGTTCAATTCTGTAGAAAATATTCAAAATTCATTTCTCTAAAATTCCTTAACAACTCCGTTCCCAAAAGAATATCTAAAGATTTCCCCCAACCTAACCTTAAAAATAATCTATAATTATATATTTAAAAAGTTTATTCGTCTGCGCACTTTCCTTTCAATGAATTAACTTGTTTTTATATTTATAAATGTAGAAATGGTTGTGTGATTGCCCTTTGAGATTTCTTAATTTCCTGTCTGTTAATTTGACTCTCTAACTTTATTGCCCTTTTATACATTTAATATATCAATAACAATATCTATTTCAAAACATAATTTACATGCCGTTCCTCACGAATCTTCGTTTATATAAATTCGATTTTAAATTAAAAATTGTTATTTGCTTTTAATTAGCGGTGAGGAAAGGAACGCGATTTTAATTAAATAAATTTTAAAATTTGTTTAGAATGAAATTTGCTAGTTTTTTGGTTGTCTTAATCTTCAATTGGTTATTATGGACTTTTGTTAAAACTACTTCAATTGAAGAAGGTCTAGCTGATGAAAATGAGGATACGGAAAAGGATCTTTCTAAAATAGTAAATGATGAGGCTGGGTCGTCTGACATTCCTCAAATACAAAAATATAAAGAAACGTTAAGTCCAAAATTAAAAGATAAGAAAAAGAACACAGATAATGAACATGACAAATTGTTTAAAAGAATTGAATATCATAAAGAATATTACCAAAAAAATAAAGAAAGGGTGCTTGAAAATAAACGAATTTACATTGAAAATAATAAAGACAAGGTGCTTGAATGTAAACGAAATTACCGAAAACAAAATAAGGAAAAGATAAATGAATATAGGCGAAATTACTATAAAATTCATAAAAGTAAGCTGAAAAATTCTAGTAAAATTTACTATCATAAAAATAAAGAAATGGTACTAAAAAAGAACAAAATATATCATCAAAATAATAAAGAAAAGTGTAATGAATACAACCGAAAATACCGACTGAAAAAGAAAAATATTCAATCTGATAATAATGAAGGAACTTCATCTGTTAATCCACTGACCGGTGATTCTGTTAATAAAGGTAAATTACCAATTGTCTGCGAGGAAAAAGAATATCTTTTTAATCAAGCGGATGAAGAATGCAATAATGGCGAGGATAAGCAAAATCAAATCAAGATAGACGAGCCAAATAAAGTTCTTGAAGACGTCATAATGAATAAAGATCTAAATAAGAAAATTTATGCTTTTGATTTGAACGAGAAACCTGAGGATGAATACTAAGAAAATTATTAAAAAGGAACGGGAGATTATAATTTAAAAAAAGATATATTTAAAAACTTAGTTTATAATCGATAAACAAGCATATTTTTTATTAATATGTGGAAAATTTCCAAAAATAACTTAATTTTTAAAACGAATTAAATTTGAAATTACAATCGCAGTTCCACTCCTTTTCTAATAAAATTTGTCTGTTGGTTCCTGAAATTTGACGAATTTATTAAAATTATACAAATTAAAATAAATTTAAACCAACTATCAACAAACTTTATCCCTACTTAATCAGTAAACAAATTAAATTTTTAAAGTCAGAAGAATATTTTCTTTATTTTCTTTCCTATATAGTATATTCTTAGTCTTCTTCAGATTGATTTTTAACTTAATCAGTAAACAATTACTCTCTTTTAATCTCCCCTATTTTTATCTCCCTAAAACGCAAAAATGAACATTAAAAATTGGAGTATGTATCTCGAAATGTCAGCAGTTCTACTCGATTATTTATGCAAATAAGGGTTTGGGAGGATATGATTTGGAGTGATTTCGGGGGATAAAACGGATTATAAAGGATATCAATGCTCTAGAAGGAAATGGAGTCTAAACTCCTTTTTTAAAACATTTTATTCGAATCTTTCTTTTTTGTGCTTAATTATTAAGTAATCTGTTTTCTCGGCTTTGCACTTTCATTTCAATAAATTTTTATTTATTTTGATATTTAAAAACGAAAGTACGGCTGCACTTTGACATTTCATAATCTGACTTTCCGATATCTTGATTCTCTAGCTTTATTGTCCTTTTAAACATTCTCCCACAGATTTACATTTAAATAAATTAAAAATTTTATTATTCTCCGTTAATTATTAAATAAATTTTAAAATTTGTATAGGATGAAAATTAATAATTTTTTAATTGTTTTTATCTTAAATTGGTTATTATGGACTTTTGTTAAAACTGTTTCTATTCGAAAAAGTTTAGCTAAACATGCTGTAAAGGATTACACGTCAAAGGAACTCACTAAAATATTTAATGATGGGGCTGAATCTTCGGTCAATCCTCAAAAGCAAAAATATAAAGAAACGTTAAACCCAAAATTAAAAAATAAGAAAAAGGACACAGATAATGAAGAGAGCAAATTGTTTAATAAAAGTGAATATCATAAAGAATATTACCTAAAAAATAAAGAAAGGATGCTTGAAAATAAACGAAATTACTATGAGAAGAATAAAGGAAAGGTGCTTGAACGTAGACGAAATTACCGAAAACAAAACAAATAAAAGATAAATGAAACTCAGAAAAATTACTATAAAAGGAATAGAAGCGAAAGAATTCAATATCAGAAGAGTTACTACCAAACAAATAGGGAGACGGAATTGAAAAAACAGAAAATATATCAACAGAATAATAAAGAAAAGTGCACTGAATACAAACGAAAATACCGACAAAAAAAGAAAAACGTTCAATCTAATAATAATGAAGAGACTTCATTTATTAATCCACAGACTGGTGATTTTACTACTAATAAAGGTAAATTGCCAATTGTTTGCGAGAAAGAAGAAAGCACTTCTAATCAAGAGGAGGAAGAAAACAATAATTGTGAGGATGAGCAAAATCAAATTGAGTTAGAAGAGCCAAATAAAGTTCTTGAAAATGTCATAAAGAATAAAGATTTGAATAAAAAAATTTATCCTTTTAATGTGAACGAGAAACCTGGGGATGAAGAATAGGAGGATTATTAAAAAGAACGGAAGATACCAATTAAAAAGAAGATTATATTTAAAAAAAACTTAGTTTATAGTCGATAAACAAGCATAAATCTTTTTTATTAATATGTGGAAAAATATCCAAAAAATATATTAATTATTAAATCAAATTAAAATTAACCTCCCTTTTCTAAACTGAGTATAACTATGGATTGAACTGTAATTTAAACTGAATATCGTCATTTTAGAATTTATCATATCAAAGAGCTGAAGAGACTTATATACTTCCTTCTTAAACTTCCGTCAATGCTACCTTATTATGGTTCTTCTTCCCTTTTTCTATATCCCCATCTGCTATTGCTTTCTGTTGTGGATAAACTTATACGTGTGTTTTCATAATGTTAATCATTTCTAATGAAACTGCAAATCAAATGATATCCATTGAAGCATAATGCCGCGGATCAGGCGAACAAACTTTTACTCAATATTTTTATCAATCATCTAGGTTTCTATAAAAAACAAACACAAATAGCATTCATTTTGATACCTTATTATGGTTTATGTTAATAATTTTTAATTTTGTTTTAAATTTAATTTTTATTTTTCTTTATTGTTTTTCCCTTTTCCTTTTTATTTTTGAGCGAATCCGAGCATTCTAGTTTTTTGGATTGATTTTCTTTTAAGATTTATTTTTTTATTTTTGAATATTTATTGCTATTCGTCATTATAATTTGCTCGAATTGATCATAAAGGTTTAATAATGGATTTTTCCTTCTACAACTATTTCAGAGTGATTTACTTCTTTTTTTATAGATATTCATCATTTTATTGAACGAAATGAGCTGTCACGGGCTTACTTATGTCTTTTTCCTTTTACAACAATTTAAAGCGTTCTTTGTTAGTTTCCTGATTATTTATCGTTATTCACCCTAGAGGTTAAGGCTTTTATATTTCTTCACACCTAAGTTTTTTATTATTGCTTTTTCTTTCTTCGCCATATAAGACAAAAATTTTAATATACCTGCAGACTTTTTACTTGTTCCTCTATTTACGACTGAATTTTATTTTTAAAAATTCTTTATCGTTATTCGTCCCTATGTTACGGCTTTTAGAAAGAATATACGTCTGCACTTTTTGTTATGAGTTTTTCTATTCATGTAATAAAACTGAGTTTTTATAGTGTAATATATGTTATATTGCCATAGTATATTCTACCATCCTCTTTAGATATAGAAAGGCATATTTTATTTAAATATAGCTTCTACCTTAGAATTTTTTGAATCTTTTCTAGTCCAATTCAGTAGAAAATTCAAAATTCATCAATTATTTTTTAAAATTCTTTCACAACTCCGTTTTCAAAAGAATATTTAAGGATTTCTCTCCTTCAAATCCTCTTAATAAAAAGGATGAATCTTGTCCACTAATATCGTTAATGGACATGGAGCATATCAGTGCCTCTAAACTCCTCGATCCTTACAAATCCGGTTCTATGATTATTATCGCTCTTTGAAAAAAACAAGAAAATACATAATATTATAAATTGTTTACTAAATACAATTTTTTATTTTGAAAGTTTAAAGGAATTTTTAAAAATTTTTTTGATTTATCTATCACTTTTTTCGACTTGCGCTTTTCTTTCAATGAATTTACTTGTTTTTATATTTATAAATGTATAAATGGTTGTGTAATTGTCCTTTGAGATTTTGTAATTTTCCTGTCTGTTAATTCATCTCTCCATATTTATTGCCCTTTTATACATTTACTATTTCAAAAGATAATTTACGTTCCTCACGAATTTTCGTTTATATAAATTCGATTTTAAAATAAAAATTGATATTTGTTTTTAACTAGCGCTGAGGAAAGGAACGTGTTTTTAATTAAATTTTAAAATTTGTTTAGAATGAAATTTGCTAGTTTTTTGGCTGTCTTAATCTTCAATTGGTTATTATGGACTTTTGTTATAACTACTTCAACTGAAGAAGGTCTAGCTGATGAAAATGAGGATACGGAAAAGGATCTTTCTAGAATTGTAAATGATGAGGCTGGATCTTCAATTATCCATCATAATCAAAAATATAAAGAAACGTTAAACCCAAAATTAAAAGATAAGAAAAAGAACACAGATAATGAATGGGACAAATTGTTTAAAAGAAGTGAATATCATAAAGAATATTACCTAAAAAATAAAGAACGGGTGAATGAAAATAAACGAATTTACAATGAAAAGAATAAAGAAAAGGTGCTTGAATGTAAACGAAATTACCGAAAACAAAATAAGGAAAAGATAAATGAATATAGGCGAAATTACTATAAAATTCATAAAAGTAAGCTGAAAAATTCTAGTAAAATTTACTATCATAAAAATAAAGAAATGGTACTAAAAAAGAACAAAATATATCATCAAAATAATAAAGAAAAGTGTAATGAATACAACCGAAAATACCGACTGAAAAAGAAAAATATTCAATCTGATAATAATGAAGGAACTTCATCTGTTAATCCACTGACCGGTGATTCTGTTAATAAAGGTAAATTACCAATTGTCTGCGAGGAAAAAGAATATCTTTTTAATCTAATGGAGAATGAATGCAATAATTGCGAGGATGAGCAAAATCAAATCGAGGTAGAAGAGCCAAATAAAATTCTTGAAGATATCATGCAGAATAAGGATTCAAATAATAAAATTCATTCTTTTGATCTGAACGAGAAACCTGAGGATGAATAAAATGAAAATAATTAAAAAGAACGGAAGATTATGACTATAATGAAGATTATACATATTTAAAAAAACCTAGTTTTTAGTCGGTAAACAAGAATAAAATGTTTATATTGATATGTGAAAAAGGAAAAATTCCGTCATATGTCACGGAAACCGATTCGGACAAACGATAAGTCATTCGAAAGAGCTCACCGAGCTGAGTCGAATGACACCAAAATCACCGTGATTGAACAAGATTAGACAAAGTTATGACACAAAAAACAAATATAAACCTATGGAGCGTCGGCAAGGCGCTTGTGCAAAATCCCGCGGTTCTCGTGGGGTCTACGGTCGCTTGTTTCTGGGCTCGCAACAGAAACTTATGCTTATTTTAGCTGCTGTCAGCATGTTTGGCATACTCCGCAGCAGCAAAACCTGCACGTAGGCCAAAGGTAAGGAGCTTGAACAAATGCTCATAACTTTGTAAAATCAATTCAGATTTCGTTGATTTTGTTGTTATTCGACTCAGCTCGGGGAGCTCTTTCAAACGAGCTTTCATTTATAAAATTGAATTTTTCACCCCACCCCCCTTTGGTTTTTCGATTTTCGGGGACTATATCTCGGCACATACTACTAGATTAAAGTGTAATTTAAAGCTGAATAATAATAAGATCGCTGATTTTACAAATTACTTGATTTTACAATTTTTTTACTTGTATGTGTGTATCATAATGATCATTCATTTCTAATTAGCTGCGATACACAAGGAAGCCGTTGAAGCATTAGCTGCTGATCAGGCTAACAAACGTTCACTCAATATTTTTATCAATTTTTAGGTTTCCTATAATAGCTTGATTGTTGAGAAATTAAATTTTAAGACTTTGCACTTTAGGATAACAAATTTTTTTCTTTAACTCACTCTCTCTCACAACAAGAATTGCTTTTAAACAAAAAATCGTAAAAAATTGAAATCTCTTCGAATCTTTCTTTTTTATGTTTAGTTATTATGTAATTTGTTTTTCCGACTTTGCACTTTCCTTTCAATGAATTTTTATTCGACTTGATAATTAAAAACGTAAATAACGTTTTCCTTTCGAATTTCGTAATCTGTCTGTTTCTCTAGCTTTATTGCCCTTTTAGATATCCTCGCAGATTTACATTTAGTAAATAAATTAAATTTTATTATTTTCCGTTAATTTTTAAATAAATTTTAAAATTTTAGGATGAAAATAGATAATTTTTTAATTGTTTTTATCTTAAATTGGTTATTATGGACTTTTGTTAAAACTGTTTCTATTCGAAAAAGTTTAGCTAAACATGCTGTAAAGGATTACACGTCATCGGATCTGACTAAAACATTAAATGACGGAGCTGAATCGTCGGTCAATCCTCAAAAGCAAAAATATAAAGAAACGTTAAACCCAAAATTAAAAAATAAGAAAAAGGACACAGATAATGAAACGGGCAAATTGTTTAACAAAAGTGAATATATGAAAATTTACCGTCAAAAAAATAAAGAAAAGATACTTGAATGTAAACGAAATTACCGAGAACAAAACAAAGAAAAGATACATGAATATAAGCGAAATTACGATAAAATTCAAAAAAGTAAGTTGAAAAATGATAATAAAACTTACTACCAGAAAAATAAAGAAACACTACTGAAAAAACAGAAAATATATAACCAAAATAATAAAGAAAAGCGGAGTGAATACCAGCGAAATTACCGACAAAAAAAGAAAAACATTCAATCTGATAATAATGAAGGAACTTCATTTGTTAATCTAATGATTGTTGATCATGTTTATAAAGGTAAATTACCGATTGTCTGCAAGGAAAAAGAAAATCTTTGTAATCAAGAAGAGGAAAAATACAATAATTGTGAGGATGAGCAGAATCAAATCGAAGTAGAAGAGTCAAATCAAATGATTGGGGATGACACAAATACAATTGATGCAGATTCAAATGTGAAGACTTTATCCGTTTAATTTGAACGAAAAACCAGGGGATGAGGAATAAAATAATTATAAAAACCGCTAATTAAAATTTAATTTAAAATTTAAATTTAATTTTTATACTTTCTTTATTGTTTTTCCCTTTTCCTTTTTATTTTTGAGCAAATTTAAGATTTTAGTTTTTTGGATTGATTTTTCCTTTATAAGATTTATTTTTTTATTTTTGAATATTTATTGTTATTCGTCATTATAATTTGCTAGAATTGGTCATAAAGGATTAATAATGGCTTTTTCCTTTTACAACAATTTCAGAGTGATTTACTTCCTTTTTTATTATTTATCGTTATTCATCATTTTATTGAACGAAATGAGCTGTCAGGCTTACTTATGGCTTTTTCTTTTTACAACATTTTAAGCTTTAGTTAGTTTTTTGATTATTTATCGTTATTCGACCCTATAGGTTAAGGATTTTATATATCTTCACACCTGAATTTTTTATTATTGCTTTTTCTTTCCTCGCCATATAAGACGAAAGAATTTAAAATAATTGCAATTTAAAATATCTATTGACTGAATTTTATTTTTAAAAATTCTTTATCGTTATTTCTTATCATAAATACTCTAACCTTATTTTATTTCATCAAATATATTGTATTTTCTATTGTGTATAGACACATTATTGTATTGCTTATTTATTGTTGTACAAGGATACAACAATTACTTCCTCTCAAAAAACAATTTATTCAAATCTTTCTTGTTTTTGTTTAATTTTAAAGTTATTTGTTTTTATGACTTTGCACTATCTTTTCAATGAATTTTACTTGTTTTTATATTTAGTAAAGTAAAAATGTTTGTGAAATTGTCATGTGAGATTTCGTAAATTTCCTGTCTGTTTAATATCTATACTCTCTAGATTTATTGTCCTTTCATTCATTTACTTTGTATATCATTAACTATAAAACATAATTGAGATATTTTCATAATATTTCCCATATTTTCATTTATATAATTTTATTATTTTTATTATCTTATTTTAAGAATAAATTTTCAAAAAATTTATTAGAATGAAGCTTGATAGTTTCTTAATTGTTTCCATAATAATTGCGATATTATGGGCATTTGTTAAAACTGTTCCAATTCGAACAAGTTTAGCTAATAAGGTTGAATTACAACAAAATTACACGGCAACTAAAATTTTAAATGATGGGGCTGAATCCTCGGTCAATCCTCAAATTCAAAAATATAAAGGAATGTTAAAACCAAAATTAAAAAATAGAAAAAAGGACTCAGTTAGAAACGAAGACAAGCTCCTTAAAAAAAGAAAATATAATAATGAATATTACAAGAATAATAAAGAATATTTTCAAAATTACCAAAAACTAAACAAGGAAAAGATAAAAGCGAATAATCAAAATTACTATGAAAGGAATAAAGAAGCTAAACTTCAAGCAAAAAGTGAAAGAAATAAACTTTATTACGAAAAAAATAGAGTACGGATTTTAGAAAACAAGAAAATTTATGATAAAAATAATAAAGAAAAGCGGAATGAATATCAGCGAAAATACCGAGAAAAAAAGAAAAACATTCAATCTGATAATAATGAAGGAACTTCTTTTGTAAATCAACAAACTAGTGATTTTAATAAAGGTAAATTACCAATTGTGAGCGAGGAGGAAGGAAATATTTCTAATCAACCGGAAGAAAACCATAATAATGGTGAAGATATGCAAGTTGAAGGGCCAAATAAAATTCCTGAACATAACGCAGTAGATTTGAATAAGAAAATTCATCCTTTTGATCTTAACAAAAAACCTGTGGATGAAGAATGGGACGATTATTAAAAGGAACAGTGGCTTATGAATGAGTGAAGCAAGGTCCAGGCCTCGAGGACAGAAAATCTTCAGCTTTGCTTTCTTTTACTTTGCCGAAATATAATTTATTTATACTACACTTTCATTTTTATTTCTTACTGATAAATTTTATATTTTTTGAAAGCTTGTTTTTATAATCAAGTATCGTGACCCAAACAAATACGTTTAGTTTTTTAACCGAATGTTCTGTATATGTTTATATAAGTAAAGAATTAAAATAAAATAAAACTGGTAAATAATTATGAGTTAATACCAATTAATTGATGACAAATTAATCATTTTAAGTACAAATAAAAATTATTTGTTTTCATATAATACCTATTTCAATGCTGAACTTATCTAACATTATCCAAATTGCACATTGGGGAATGCAAAGTTTTCTTTTTTTAAATTAAAAAAATATATAAATTTTTTGATAAATTTGTGGGAGTCAATTGAATAGTCCTACAGATAAAAAAACAACACAAGGCCAAAAATCAACGCAAAATGCAAAAATCGAAAATTTTTTAGCAATTATTAGCCATTTTTCAATTAAAAATTGAAGTATCACTAAATGCCAGCGAGTCCTACTCATTTTTTTATACAAATAAGGGTTTGGATGGATATGATTCGAGTGATATCGGGGTTAAAACGGATTATAAAGGATATCAAATGCTTTAGAAGGAAATTGAGTTTAAACTTCTTTTTTTTAACATTTTATCCGAATCTTTCATTTTTGTGCTTAATTATTAGGAAATTTGTTTTCTCGCTTTGCACTTTCCTTTCAATGAATTTTTATTTGTTTTGATATTTAAAAACGAAAGGACGACTGCACTTTAACATTTCATAATTTGTTTTCCGATATCTTAAACCTCTAGCTTTATTGCCCTTTTAGATATCCTCGCAGATTTACATTTAAATTTATTACATCTTATTATCTTCCGTTAATTATTAAAAAAATTTTAAAATTTTAGGATGAAAATTGATAATTTTTTGATCGTTTCAATCTGCAGTGCAATTTTATAGGCATTTGTTAAAACTGTTTCTATTCGAAAAAGTTTAGCTAAAAATGCTGTAAAGGATTACACGTCATCGGATCTGACTAAAACATTAAATGATGGAGCCGAATCGTCGGTCAATCCTCGAAAGCAAAAATATAAAGAAACGTTAAAAATAAAATTAAAAAATAAGAAAAAGGACACAGATAATGGAGGGGGCAAATTGTTTAATGAAAGTGAATATCATAAAGAATATTACCTAAAGAATAAAGAAAGGGTCCTTGAAAATAAACGAAATTATTATGAGAAGAATAAAGATAAAGTGCTTGAACGTAGACGAAATTACCGAAAACAAAACAAAGAAAAGATAAATGAGACTAAGAAAAATTACTATAAAAGGAATAGAAGCGAAAGAATTCAATATCAGAAGAGTTACTACCAAACAAATAGGGAGACGGAATTGCAAAAAATGAAAATATATCAACAGAATAATAAAGAAAAGCGCACTGAATACAAACGAAAATACCGACTGAAAAAGAAAAACATTCAATCTGACACTAATGAAGGAACTTCATCTGTTAATCAACATACCAGGGATTTTGTTAATAAAGGTAAATTACTAATTGTCTGCGATGAAGAAGGAAATCTTTTTAATCAAGCGGAGAAAAAATGTAATAGATGTGAGGATGAGCCTAATCGAAGCAAAGTAGAAGAGCCAAATAAAATTTCTGGAGATGACACTAATGGTGTACGGAATTCTGGTCACTGTAATTTTGGTCACCAAGTCAAAAAACGGAATTTTGGACACTGAAATCTTGGTCACCAATAGGAATTTTGGTCACCAAACGAAACAAACAAATCTTATCCAAAACTGATATCAAAGTGATAGAAATTTTTTTTCTACCTCCAGTTGATCAAAATTTCAATGTTTATCACTCTTCCGGTTAATCAATTAAACCGAGATAGTGATTAAGAGTGATCAACCGACAGATTGATCAGCTGGGAGCGTGATAAACATTGAAATTGATCAACTGGGGGTTGAAAAACAATTTTTTATCGTTTTGATATCAGTTTTCGATAAGATTTGTTTTTCTCGTTTGGTGTCCAAAATTCCTATTGGTGACCAAGATTTCAGTGTCCAAAATTCCGTTTTTTGACTTGGTGTCCAAAATTCCGCTGGTGACCAAAATTCCAAAAAAATGGTGACCAAAGTTCCGAAAAATCTTGGTGACCAAAATTCCAGTGACCAAAATTCCGGCACCCCTACACTCTAGCCTTATTGAACTTTTATATATCACTATTTTGTTCAATTTTGTTAGAAAACATACCTAATTTACACTTTTTAAACATGTCAAATTTGTTTAAATAAACCAAATTTTAAGTTAAATTTTATTATTTTTCGTTTATTTTTTATTAAATTTTAAAATTTGTTTAAGATGAAACTCGCTAGTTTATTAATTGTTTTAATCTTCACTTGCATATTATGTGCATTTGTTAAGACAATTCCAATTCGAAAAGGTCTAGCTAGACATGCTTTAAAAGATTACTCGTCAACTGATCATTCAAAAATATTAAATGATGAGGCTGAATCGTCTGTCAATCCTCAGATTCAAAAATATGAAGAAACGTTAAAACCAAAGTTAAAAATTACAAAACACGGCAAAGAAATACCTATGAACACAATAAATAGAAGTGAATATAAAAGAGAATATTACCAAAAGAATAAAGAAAGGTTGAATGAAAATAATCGGAATAACTATGAAAAGAATAAAGAAAAGTTGTTAGAATGTAAACGAAATTACCGAAAACAAAATAAGGAAAAGATAAACGAATATCAGCGAAATTACTATAAAATAAATAAGGAAATGGTACTGAAAAAACGTAAAATTTATAGGCAAAATAATAGAGAAAAGTATAATAAATCCCAGCGAAAATACCAACAAAAAAAGAAAAATGTCGAAGCTGATATGGCAGGAACTTCATTTGTTAATCCACAGACTGATGATTTTGTTAATAAAGGTAAATCACCAATTACACACGCGGAGACTTTTAACGAAGGAAATCTTTTCAATCAAGGGGGAAAAGAATATAATAATGTCGAGGAAGAGCTAAACCAACTCGAGGCGGAAGAATCAAATAAAATTCTTGAAGTTGACATAAATCAAAAAGAATTAAGTGAAGAGAAATATCTTTTTGATCTGAATGAGATTCCTAAGGATGAAGAATTGAAAAAGTAATAAAATAAAGACTCTTGTCTAATTTATGCGTTCCATAAAATTGTAAAATAAATATTTGTCAATAAAAAATAAATTAGAATCATTCAGTCCCACTCATAAAAATTTTAGTTACTATAATTTCAGTTTCACGTTCTCGGCGATTTTCTTCGCCACAGGCGAAAATTTGAGATTTTGTAATGCTTTAGTGTATTGTATTTTCCCATGTATATTTTATACAGTGTGTAACAAAACTATAAGCCACCCAAAATTTTTTAATTAAGGTTCTAATGAATGAAAATTTTTAAAATTTTTACCCAATATTGAAAATGTAATTTCAAGCAAATATTAAAAAAATTTTTAATTAAAAATTTTTACAAAAATTTTTTTTCGAACTTTTTATGAAATCTAGGTGTAACATAACTATAAGCCACCTCGGAAAAATTTTATTTTTCATATTAGCAATGCTTGAAAATTTTTTTAAAAATTTACATGAACATTTCCATTGATATTAAGTAGAAAAACAAAAAGAACGAACTCTGCAAATACTTTCTTCATTAGATCTCAAAACCCCAAAATCAACAGAAAATAGGGGTACAGTACTTCAAAAAATATTTTAACCTCCTTAGAACTTAGAGATAAATTTTCTTTTTAGCCCATCTCAACTCAAAATTCGCTAACAATATTACACAACAAGATATAGAAATTCGATAATTTTTTATTTTTTTCCGATCCCGCCTTCCGCTTTTTAAAATTCAAAATTCTCTTTAAGTACCTAGATTTACTTGAATCAGGATTGTCAAGATATTTACATTGTTTAATAATTTCATAAAAAATACAAAATAATAATATGTAATAATTTTTTAAAAATATCAAAATACATATTTTTAAGAATACACCCAAAAAGGCCACGGCCATAACGACGCAAAGCCATAATTAGTTGGGAAATTTCAAGGGCTTATCAATTTTAGTCATCCCGACCTCCCACATCCCTGATGAGTTTGGCGCCGTTATGGTCGCGCCCTTTTATGCTGTACGCATATCTTTATATTATCCCCAGTAATATCTTCCTCCATATTGTCTTCCCCAGTTATATCTTCCCCAGTTAGCTCTCCATCCACCGCCTCTCCATGAAATCATTCCTCCATCCCCGCCTCCATCTCCCCAGCTTCCTAGCCAATAACGAGCCTCTCGATCGCCTCTATTTTTTAAAATTATTTTATTTCAATACATATATAAGGTTACTATCCGAATTTCTCCTGATTTTCCCTTTGTTCTGCATACTTAATTCTCTAATTTAAAGAAAAGAAGGCAAATAATGGTCAATGAAACCCATGGCGATAAGTACTTGTCTCTTTTTAGAATCTTTTGTACGGTAGTCACCTATTTGTAATAGATTCACTGTATTCGCATAAAATCCTGTGTAAGAGTGTTTAAAAAATGTTATACAGGGGCTGAAGGTTGCGGCGCTAAAGTCGCGGCGCAAATGTTCTTAGCGCAAGTGATCACTACTTATCTCTATAGATTTCCTTGACGATATTTGCCTTACTTCTTTTCTTTATAATAGAAAATGAATGAAGCAGAAGAAATGGAAAAGACGCCCTAGTTTCGTCAAAGGACATTTTCGTCAGAATTAGTTCAATTTTCAGGAGTAAGTACAACATTCTACTTAGATTCAATTTTCAGGAGGTTCAATTTTCATTGGTGTCATTCGACACAGATCGAGGAGTATAGGACTGACCAATTTTTACATATTTACCAAAAAATTGACTGGGAAGGTAGGGGAAGTAAATAAGCCCCCTCAAGATAAATGACCGCCTACAATATAATGGCCCTTTGGCGGCGAAAAAAGAATGACCGTCTATTCTATTAGAAGAAATAGGGTATATGTCATAATACTATTTGACCGGTATCGGGATTCCGTCATAAAATCGGTATCGGTAATTTGTAATCGGCATTCAATCGGCATTCGATTGGATCCTGATACCGGCCAACACTACAAAATACCCCTCCTTTAAGTTAGATTTTTAAAGGGTAAACTAATTGACGAAAAATGATGACAAAAATGCCCTCTGACGATACTACCGGATAGCAGATAAGCGGATATTACCAAAATAATTATTAATTAAATAACTTAACAGTTTCAAATCATTATTAGTTTCAGATAAATAATTAATCTCAGCTTTACTCTCCAGTGAGTATTTAATTAAAATTAAAAAAATTAAAATTAACATTATTTATAAAATAGTTTAGTATAATTTAATAAATATTTAACTACATATGTATAAGTATAAAAAATTTTTTTGTTAAATTTTTGTCTGAAACTATTAGTGTAATAATGATATTAACAAAAGTCCTACCAAAAAAATTTTTTCTTTGTTTAAATTTAAAAAATAATAATTTTATTACACAAAAATTTAACTTACCTTATTCAATCTAAAATAAAAGAACAAGAAAGTTAACTTCCTATTTATCAAATCACCCAAAAGGTACATTTTAGTGTAATAAAATAATTATTATTTTTAAATTTAATTAAATTTTTTTTTATTTTTTGGTATGACTTTGTTCTTTCATATTAAAAATAAAATCAGCCAAAAGGTTATAGTATATCTATCAGGGGTATAAACGGAACAACTTTCCCGTTTACGGGGCAACATCCCCCGTTGACGGGACAACATCCCCCGTTGACGGAACAACTTCCCCCGTTGACGGGACAACATCCATTGTTGACGGAACAACTTCCCCCGTTGACGGGGCAACATCCCCCGTTGACGGGGCAACATCCCTTGTTGAACATCCCCCGTTGACGAAGCAACATCCCCTGATGAAGGACCAACTTCCCTCTTTGATTAACAACTTGGAATTTTTTTTCGAAAAGGAATAAAAGTTACAAAAATAAATCCAAATCGCATAAGAATATGTTTGAACGCATAAACTTTTCATTGAACGTATACAGGTTGTTTGGACGTATAAAGGTGTGATTGGACGCCTAAACTGAACAAGCCCCAAAAATTTTTCATTTTAGTCAGAATTTACAAATATAGAAAAAATAAAAGATACATTAGGTATTTGCTTGTTTATTCTGTGATTTATTACAACAAAATTTAATTTAAAGATTAATTTGTTAGATTTACTTCTTTTTAATATTAATCTGTAGTTTAAATTCTAGTAGGTATAAGCAATTGCAAGTCATTAGGCTATAATATTAAATTTGTAAGAGAATAAAATTATTTTGTGATTAAATTCGAATTACTAGAAAATTTTATAATAAATTTTATACACTCAAATCTTTTTAATAAATTACTACAGCCAGGTTTAGCTATGGATTATCCTTATAATTAAGATTCCTTAACTGTTCGTATTTTTTAATATTCCAGAAATGGAGTCCAAAATGTTATGTATCGGGTTACTCAACAGGGCTGAGCGTCATAGCGTTTGGCGTTCCACGAGAAAATTTCGGCGCACAGCCCTATTATCCAAAGCACAATACAGCAAATTATCAAAATTTTGCCCTTGGAAATTTTGCCCTTAAAGGTATAAAATGTGAAATCAAGCTTCATGATCTTTCAAGTTTCTCAAATATGTATTTAATACCTCTTTAACATATTTTTAGCAAGACTACATGCCCAGAATCATGTCTAGACAAATAATTTATGTCAACGTTCGAGATTAAAGCCTTATATTTTTAAGAATCGAGATCTCATCTAAAATTCCAAAAAACATACAATATTTACACTCCAATCACACTTTGGAGTGTCCCCGTCCATCATTTTTTCGGGTAGCCATGTAAATGTTCTTCTCACTTCTTTTTGGGAAATTATTCGAATTCGAAAAATATTTCCAAATTTATTATTATTTTTAATTTTATTATTAAGAGGTTCATTAATCTTTAATTCAGCTATATTTTTGCCATAAACAATAAATATATTCCCATTTTTGCGGATAAATATAGTTGCTTTACGATACATTCCTGGAAGATCTGTCCACGTTGCATTATGTTCTGTAGGGATAAAAGTAAAAATTAAATGATAACCACTCCTTTCAGTTTCAAAGCCTCTATGAGGGGAACAATAATTTCAAAATTTCAGGAAAATATGACAAAGTCAAACTGACAACTAAAAATTTGGTTGTTCATATTTGGGTTGCACAAAACCTATTAACCACTTACGGTTACGTTAACGGATGTTTTTGCAAAATTGACAGGGATCGGGTGGGATTATCCAGGCCCTCACCCGGGTTAATCGGGATCGGGGATATTATCCCGGGTTTTTCAAAGCCCGATCCCGATTTTTCAGATTCCGAGACAGAAATGTGAATCCTGATCCCGGTTTTGGCCAATCCCGATCCCGTGTCGGGATCCGGGATCGGTATCCCCATTCCAAAATCCCGATCCCAGATTTTTCTCTAAATCACGATACCGCTGAACTCTGTTTAAACGTTAACCGGGGGCCTGTTAATAACCGGCTTTGTGCAAAGGGTTTAAAGGATCAATCACAAAAAGTACAAAAATCTGACCATATTTAAATTCTCCGCCAATTGCCCCAGAGAAAAAGAAATTTTTCTGTCCATTATTATTTCGCCAAAAATTCCATGAAAGCAAAACAAATTCCTCTAAATTAATTCCCCTCCCATTTTTGCGATTATAAGCAAAAGGGAGTCTAAAAAATTTAATTTTTAGGGACTTCTATAGAAACTAACAAATTTTCAAATATTCTGTCAGTAACACAAGAACAAGATTCCCAATTATTTATTGAAACTGTGAAATTAAATATTCCTTGTATTTTGGCCCATTTTGGTATTTTTAAATAAAGATTCAATGATTGACGTTTTCCATGTAAATAATTAATTGTGCTTAATTAAAAGATTAATTTAAGGATGCTAAATTATTTTTTTATTCATTTATATTCCTTCAGGCCTTTATACTTTTATTGGCCTTTATACTTTAAAATCATGTCGTTTTGCTTTCATTTTGTCCGATTTCTGGCATTTTGGGTTTGTCGTGTTTTGAAAATCGAGCAGTTGTCGTCTGTGGTTGCGCGCCACGCAAAAGTTTTGGCAGAAGCAGGCCAAGGTACCGCCGAGCTATAACTAGTTCAAAATTGTCGATGCATCTCGACGAGCTGAATTGAACCATACCAGGGCGTCCCGGATTTGACAATTTTGAACAAAGTTATAACTCGGCAATGCCTTGCGGTACCTTGTGGTGTACCCAGTTTTGGCGTACATCTCAGTTGTTGATCTTTTTTTATTTTATAAATAGGTTCTGAGGCTCAAATTTCGCGGCGCAAAAGTCACAGAAACATCCCCACGATTGTAAAAAAGTTGATAAACGATATCAAATACTGGAAGTAAAAAGATTTTTATCTCAAGTAAATCGCACTTTATTTTATAGATTTTTAAACAAATATTATCCTTTTTACAACCTACTGCCATCTTTTTCAATCCGAATCATTCCATTAGCCCATATAGGCAAATATTTTTGTAATACAGCATTACTGCTTGCCTCAATAAATTTGTATCGAGTTTCATTAGAAACTAAATAAATTTCTTCGAGTTTAATAAAAATAATATACAAAATTAAAAATAGAGAAAAAGCCATTAATTAGTAGGTGTTTTAACGCTTTTACTAAATTTATTTTAAATAAAAACACAACGATTATTAATTAGCAATGATTACTCATATTAAAGTGTAAAAATATTTTGTGTTAAATATTCAAATGGTTTTTTAATAAATGAAAATAAATTTTATAATCAGTAGGGTGGTCCAAAATATGCACCGAAAACCCCACTAAATATGCACAAATATGGAAATATGCACGAGAGGGCCGAAATATACAAAAATATGCATTAAGAACCGGCTCCTAAAGTGCTCGGACCGATGTAAAAACACCATTTTTGAGCTTCTCTCATCAAGGCATATCCACATACAAAACATGCATTTGCATGTTTTGGACCACCCTAATAATCAGACATGATGTCGAAAATTTCGGCGAAGGATGAAAATTATTAAATTAATATTTTTCATTTTTTGTATGACATCATTTTTGCGTTACAATTGCCTTTCTACAATTTTTTATCCGTTCTTTTTAATAATTTTCCATTTCTTTATCCTCGGGCATCTCGTTCAAATCAAATGGTATCTCGTTCAGATCAAAAGAATGAATTTTCTTGTTCGCATCTAGATCATCTAGGTCATTTGTGTTCTCTTCAAGAATTTTATTTGCCTCATCTACCTCGATTTGATTTTGCTCATTCTCGCCTTTATTGCATTCATCTTCCCCTTGATTAAAAAGATTTCCTTCCTCCTGACAAACAATTGGTAATTTACCTTTATTAATAAAATCACCAGTCTGCGGATTAACAAATGAAGTTCCTTCATTATTATCAGATTGACTTTTCTTTCTTTGTCGGTATTCTCGCATGTATTTATTCCACTTTTCCTTATTATTTTGGTTATATATTTTCTTTCTTTTCATTATCGTTTCTTTATTTTTATGATAGTAAATTTTCATATGTTGAATTCTTGCGCTTCTATTCATTTTATAGTAATTTTGATTATTTTCCTTTATTTTTTCTTTATTTTGTTCTCGGTATTTTCGATCCTTTTCAGCACACTTTTTTTTATTTTTTCGGTAATATTCTTTATTATATTCACTTCTGTTAAACACTTTGCCTTTTCCATTATTTCTATCTTTGTCAGTCTTCGTTAATTTTTCTTTATATTTATGAATTTGAGGATTGGCAGACGATTCAGCCCCACTATTCAACATTTCAGCGAGTTCCTCTGCTGTGTAAACTTTTTCATCAGCTACCCCTTTTTTGGTTGGAGTAGTTTTAACAGATATCCATAATATCCAACTGATGATTGAAACGATTAAAAAATTAGCAAGTTTCATCCTAAACAAATTTAAAAGCTTTCTTTAAAAATTAACGGAAAAATAATAAAATTTAACTCAAAATTGAATACATATAAATAAGCGTTTAAAAACGCTATGATGAAAATATCTGAATTATGTTGTGTAATAAAATTGATACAAGTATTAGATAGAAAAGGGCAATAGACATTAAGAAATTTTAGACTTTTTAAATATAAAAATAAATTCATTGAAAGGAATGTGCATAGTGCGAGACATTAATAGTGAACCGAACCACGACAAGATCTTGAACTAGAAAATACTCAGTTATTTAAATACTTTTCCAGATAATGATTCGATTCTTTCAAACCCTCCTAATCCTGTCTCTAATCCTTTGTATACTCTACCCAAAAATACTGAAATAATTACCCTGAGTAATTATTGCTTCAATCTCGTTGAAGCTTCATGATTAACATTTCTTTATACACAGCATGTTTTTCTGGTAGTAATGGGTCCATTTTGAAATATGGATCTAATAAGTTTGAATTATTAGTTCACACTTTTTAATGCCAAAAATCTTTGATTTCTATAACAACAATTAACATATAAAATCAGCTGTTTCAACAGACATTGATTGACTTTGAAACAAAAATTTTCAAAATTAAAAGGTAGTAAAAGCGTGAAAACAATATAGCTAGAGAAAGAAATAAAAATGAAAAAACAACAATAACTCTCAAAAAATGCATTTTTGCTGCATTCTACTCATTCCTCTATTTAACATAATTCTACTCAAATATATTTCAAGTAAATCAGGCAGATATCACCAGATGATTGGGTTACCCAATTTATTTCTGATTTTAGGAGAAGAAAACTTTGTACTTATTAAATAATTTTTATATTTTTTTTAATTTTCTATTCGATGTTTTTTTATAAATATTCAATAATTCAAGCGATTTTCATCAATAAGTAGATCCGAAAATTTTCATTTGCAGAATTATTTGTTGGACTTGAAAGAGTCGTTATTGTTAAAATGGTTCTATTAAATAAACACATAAAATGACACTAATTAGAGGAATAATAGACCAGAAACAACGCCAGCCTGCCAACTATTATTTGATAACCTGATAATTTGATAAATGAAATCGGATCAACCAAATCCACGAGATTTCAGCCTCTCCCCTGATAACCATCCAAATCACCCGATATCTCCTAAATCCATTTTTCCGTGACTGTATTAATCAAAAAATATTTATGCTTGTTTATCGACTATAAACTAAGTTTTTAAATATAATCTTTTTTAAATATAATCTTTTTAATTAAAATCTTCCGTTCTTTAATATCTTCTCATTCTCCATCCTCAGGTTTCTCGTTCAAGTTAAAAGGATAAATTTTCGTATTTAAATCTTTATTATTTGTGTCATCCTCCAGAATTTTATTTGGCTCTTCTACCTCGATTTGATTTCGCCCATCTTTGTCATTAATGCATTCAACCTCTTCTTGATTTTAAAGATTTCCTTCCTTCTCGCAAACGATTGGTAATTTACCTTTATTAGAAAAATTGTCAGTCTGTGGATTAACAAATGAAGTTCCTTCATTATTATCAGATTGAACGTTTTTCTTTTTTTATCGGTATTCGCGCTGGTTTCGATTTACAATTTCTCTGTGATTTTGTCGATATATCTTCTGTTTTTTCAGTATTCTTTCCTTATTATTTTGGCGGTAAATTTTCATATATTGTCTTCGTTCATTATTTTTACTTTCCTTGTTCATTTCATAGTAATTTCGATTGTACTCAGCCGCCCTTTCTTTATTTTTTTGATAATATTCTTTTCTATATTTACTTCTGTCAAACACTTTGACTTCTCCATTATCTGTATCCTTTTTTGTTAACGTTTCTTTAAACTTTTGAATTTCAGGATTGACCGACGATTCAGCTTTATCATTTAATATTTTAGACTAATCATTTGCCGTGTAATCTTCTTCAGCATGTTTAGCTAAACCTTTTTTAGTCGGAGTAGTTTTAACAGATATCCATAATATCCAACTGAAGATTGAAATGATTAAGGAGCGAGCAAATTTCATCCTAAACAAATTTAAAAATTACGGAAAAATTATAAAGTTTAACTTAAAATTGAATTAATAAAATAAACAGTTGAAAAGGATATAATGAAAATATCTAAATTATATTTTGTAATAAAATTGATATAATTATTAGATAGAAAAGGGCAATAAATCATTAAGAAATTTTAGATTTTAAGTCTAAAAACAAGTTAAATTCATTTAAAGGAAAAGTGCATAGTGCGAGACTTTAAAAATAATGAACCGACCAAGACGTGATCTTGAACTTAATAATCTCGATTCTCATCACCCTCTTAATTCTGTCTATTTGTATGAACCCTCCCAGACCTTTTCTAATCAGTTGTATTGATTTATATTTTTAAAGATTTTTCAAAATATTTGTGTAAAATTTTTGTAGGAAAAAAGTTTATATGTAATCATAGAGCGAGGTAATTATTATAGGGTAATTCGGCAATTCGGTATCTCTCCAAATGCACTTAATTCCTCCAAATGTTCTAATTTTTAAAATATTCACCCTGATGTTAGAATAGGACAAAATATTAGTGGATAGTAGTTAACCCACAGTCACCGTCGCGGCTTTTTACTAATCCACTACCCGTCAAGTGGTGGAGGGGTCCGACAAAAACCAAAAGGGAGAGGGCATGCCGCGGCAAAGATCAAAGAGGAGTGGACACTGTCGCGGGGGTGGAGGGGTCCGATAAAAGAAATGGTCAGACAAAAGAAAGAGAGTGAGGAAAACCAAAAGGATAAGAAAGGAGTGGATTGAGGGATAATTTGTAAATCATAGATGTCGGGGGTGGTAATAAAATCATGTTAAACCAAATGAGTAATTTCAAGCCTGTCGCGGATGATTCATGTACGTTACTAGATTACACCTTTGTAAACATGTACCAATTATCACCTGATTACCCTAGATGTTACCGAGGCACGTGATTACCCTAGATGTTACTAAAAGTGATTACCCTAATCGGTGATTATTATGTTCTGTATCGTTAATATTTATTTGTTACTGATTACATTTGTTGTTAATTAAAGTGATAGCTGATAAATTATTAAAAAAATTAAAATTCTTTATTTTCAATCCCCAATACATAATTTTTGCTTCGCCAAAATTTGGTCCATGTTTTTAATCCTTTTTGGCAAGTTTTCAGATAATGACCTTGACCTTTTGACCTTAATCCTTTATTTTTTATCAAATTTAAAAATTGTTTAGAATTTTCTCTTTGATGTTGCCGATATTTTAAATTTATGCAAATTAACCTTTTAAAAACTCTTTGAAGATGCCGCCAATATTTTAAAAATTTTAAAATTTATGCTCCCGATATTTTAAATTTATGCAAATTAATGTTTTAAAACCTCTTTGAAGTTGCCGCCTATAAAAAGTTTTACCAAAATATTTCATATAAAAACAAAGATTTATTTCTCATTTGTATTCACTTAAAAAAAGTTCAAATAATTTAAAATATTTATTAATTTGCTCCTCATCTTTTTATTTTAATAGGAGCTCTTTTTGCTCCCCATAATTTTTTGCTCTTTATTCATAGGAGCTCTTTTTCATAGGATTTTTTTTATTGAATAATGGACTATATTCCTCCAACAAAACGCGCAAGAGCGTTCTTTATTGATAACCTTCTCTCTATCAATCAATCAGGAGGAGATGCTGCTCCACAGCAATATATTGAGCAGCTTGAAAATACTACAAAATTAATCAATAAATTTAAGATCACCAAAAATTATTCGAAATTCCTTATTCAGAATATTCCTGCCGACCCTGAGGCCTTATTATCAGGAATATTCCAGCACTGTTTCAACGAAGCCATGAACAACGCAAAAAACAACGGACTTGAACCTGAGGAGCTGAGTTGCACCGTAACAAGTGAGTTATTAGATTCTGATATTTGGATACCCCTTAGGCCCTCATCACAAAACACCTTTAATACCCTGCTTAATCAATTTAATAAGGTTTCTCAAAGTAAAAAGCAGGCTGGTATTACCCTATGGGGAAAACCTTTTTCAGTTAATGTAATGGTCGTCGACAAGAAAAATTTGAACAAGGAAAACAACATTATTGGAGGAGCTCCCCGAAAAATTGCTCCTATTCATCATCAGATCAAGGAGCAGAATTTAATCAAAATTATCAACAACGATGGTTATTGCTTATTTTATTCTTTATTAGCAACACTTGTACGGCTTATTAGCAAAATGTCGCGCTCACAATTTTACAACTATATCCACGGGAGGTATGCATCGTGTGGACAATTCGAAAGGGAGACATTGGAGCTGATGGATCAAGTTGGAGCTCCTCTTGGTCAGAAGGAGTACAATGCTGAGGAATGGGTTCCTCCCGTGGTCGACTTTTGGAATGAAATGTATGCAGGCCAGTTTGTTTTTAAAGTTTTTATTTTTGATTGTTTGGGGCACTATAAGCCTTGTTTCAAATATGGTCCAGAGAATTATAATTCCCCATTGCTCCTCTATTTTGATGGCTCTCACTTTAATGGAGTTACTTGCACTGGTGGGCTTTTTGGGCAGCCTTATTGTTTGGAATGTGAAACAGTGTATCAACGTCCACAACAACATTCTACATCCTGTCGGGCACACTGTCTCAATTGCTCCCGTGTCGGTCCTTTATATCCATGCCCTCCGAGGAACAATTTCTCCAAAAAATGTAATGGGTGCTCCAAGAGTTTTAACAACGAAAATTGCTTCGACCATCATCAGAGTTCACGATTTTGCCAACAATCCAAACGTTGCGAAAAATGTGGAGTGATCTGGGATACAAAAGATAACACCAGAGGAGGCAGGAGCGGCCACATTTGCGATGAGCGCTATTGTTCAATTTGCTCAGGATATCATGACCCAAAGCGCGGATGTTTTATTAAGCCTTTGGAGCCCAAGGAGCAAAAGCCTTATCGATTTGTAGCTTTTGATCTGGAGACCATGCAACATGTATCAGATGGAAA